TTTTGAGTATATGCCTAGAAGTGAAATTGCCGGATCATTTGGTAATTCTGTTTAACTTTTTGAGGAACTACCATACTGATTTTTACAGTGGCTGCACCATTTTACACTCCTACCAGCAACACACGAGGGTTTCAATTTGACCACAACCTTGGTAACACTTAGATTTTTTGTTTTTTCAATAATAGCCATCCTAATGGATGCGATGAAACGGTATTCCAGTGTAGTTTTGGTTTATATTTCCCTAATAACTAATGATGTTGAGCATCTTTTCATGTGTTTATTGGCCATTACCTTTTTTGGAGAAATGTTAATTCAAGTCCTTTGCCCGTCAAATAGAAGTTTTTGAATGCTGCCAAGTTTTGTGGGATGTCACCCTTCATTATTTTCTATGAAATTTCACAAAAGATTCAGTGTACCCTTGTCTTTTAAGGTATTCAATGTCAATGCACCTCTGCCTCCACGGAAAGAACAAGAAATAAAAGAATCCCCCTATTCACCTGGCTACAATCAAAGTTTTACTACAGCAAGTACACAAACACCACCCCAGTGCCAACTGCCAGCTATACACGTAGAACAAACTGTTCTTTCTCAAGAGACTGGTAAGATCTTTACATATGATATTTTGAAGACTTAGGTGAAAGCTAATTGTGAATGGAAAGCAACTCTGTAGTGATACTTTAGCAGTTCTTTCCTAAGTAGTGAGCATTTTCTCTTTACATGTTCAAGTGTTGACAAACCCTTAATGCCTTTTCCTCTGTTAGGTTCACCATTAATTTTAACTTCTGTAGAGGTGGAACTTAGATGGGCGATTTATATGAATATGTAGGCTCATATTTTTAAATCTGATTACTTTGATTGCCATAGACAGTGATAGGGGTAGATAGGGCATTGTCCAGTTGCTTTTATGAAGGTTTTGAAACTGTTCATTCTGTTAATAGTTTTAGCACAGAGAGATGGCTATTTGGCCTTTTCTCTTTTCTTTCCTCTTATGATAAAAGCATTGATTAATATGAAGATAGAACTTAGTATGCTTATTCCACTGTTTGCTTAGAGATAGGAGACTATTTTGATCTTTTACGCGATTCTAAATCATAAAAGAATAAGCAACTTTGTAATTATTTCCTAATTTCAGAAGCACTTGTAGATTTTTAGCGTTGATATTTTAGGCCCCTACTGAGTCTTCTAAAACTTAAGCCTGAGCAGATGAATTGTGCGTTCTGGGTACTTGGTTAACCACAGGGGGCAGTAAATGTAAATCCCTGCACCTAGCCACAAGGGACCTCATCTTTCCTCACCTGTACTGTGCAAACATAGGGCAGGTGATTTACTTAAAGGATATTTTTGTCATATGCCTTTTCAATTATGGTATTAATGAAAATTCATTTTCTTTTCTCCTTGATCTGGAACATTTAGCCTATTTTTTCTCTTCAATTATGGTAAAATATAGATAGCATAAAACTTACCATTTTAAACATTTTTAAGTATACAGTCTGTGACATTAAATACATTCAGATTGTTGTGCAGCCATCACCATCATCTATCTCTAGAACTTTTTTTTACCTTCCCCAGCTGAAACTCTGTACTCATTTAACACTAACTTCGCATTCCCCTTTCCCCCCAAACCCCGGCAGCCACTATTCTACTTTGTCTCTAATTTAGCTATTCTGGGTACTCACCTAAGTAGAATCATACAATATTTGTCTTTTTGTGACTGGCCTGTTTCACTCAGCATATCTCTAAGGTTCTTCCATGTTATAGCATGTATCAGAATTTCCTTCTTTTTTTAAGACTGAATAATGTCTTATTAAATATGTTATTTAAATAAAGATACCTATATCTCTTTCTATATAGATACATATATAGCACCTGTTTTGTTTTTTTTTTTAATGTAGAAAATTGTATTAAAGGTTTTTGGTATACAGTAACTTTTCAGTATAAAGAGAATTTAATCTTTATTACCATTTAACTCTTGGACTTTAAAACTGTTTCCTTAAGCAGCAAGTTATCCTGATGGAACTATTCAAATAAGCAATGGTAGCCTTGCCTTTTACCCAGCACAGACGAATGTATTTCCCAGACCCTCTCAACCATTTGTCAATAGCCGGGGATCCGTTAGAGGATGTACTCGTGGTGGGAGATTACTAACCAATACGTATCGGTCCCCTGGTGGTTATAAAGGTATGCTCTGAATAAAATTTAATTATACTCAATTATTTTGTCTATATATTTACTTGATTCAAACTATTTTTACGTTACCTTGTTCCTTTTTGTAGTCGCCGTTTATAATATAGAAGAGAACCCCCTATTTCTGCAAAATACAGTTTTCTAATATACCTATTCTCTATAGCAGAGGACCTTTTTGTATGAAAAGCAGATTGATCCTGGTATTTATCCAAGTGAAAGGTTGAGCATTATTTTCTTCTGGGGATGAAGTTTGGTTTTCATGTTTGAATAATTTCTTTTGTTAATTGCTCAAAATGTGTCATAATTAGACAATGCCCATTTTCTAGTTATTTGTCTACCAGAGTATACCACAGATAAAAACATAAACTTTGAGAGTATAATAGTGATGTCGTCTTTAGTTATAAATGTGGTTCCAAGTATTCCAGTCACTGGTGTTAGCAGAGTTCTCTACACAGAAGCCTTAACTACCTACTCACCACATTTCCTAATCCCACCTACATCCCAGCAGTAGTGAACTTCTGCAGTTAGTTGACTTATTTGAAGTCAGCAATATTTTATAATCATGTATTGTAGAAGCAAAAAGAAGGCGTAAATCTAATGATGACATTATATGATCAATTTAACTTTAAAAATGGTATGGAATTAGACTATTCAAAAGTTTAGTATAATTTTGCTCATAATTTTATGTAAGTTGTTTATTTATTAGGTTTTGATACTTATAGAGGACCTCCTTCAATTTCCAATGGAAATTATAGCCAGCTACAGTTCCAAGCTAGAGAATATCCTGGAACATCTTATTCCCAAAGGGTAAGAATAGTTGTCATGATTGAATAGTAGTACAGTTGTTGATGTTAAGCTGGTGATTAAACTATAGCAGAGTCATAAATTGTTATAAGGCACTCTTAGTTTTTACTTGTAAGTACTGTAGAGAGTGGAGTTGGAAGCTTTTCTAATAACCCATGGAGGATAAATGACAACTTAGAAGGTCTTAAGGACTTTATTAATTATGTTTGCATGAACTCATTTACTCCTCCATCCTTATAAGAGAAATCGAGGTTCAGAAACAAGTTAAATAACTTGTGTAAGGTCACAAGATGAGCACTAAGTAAATGGTAGGACTAAGATTAGACTGCACGTTTCTTAACTCCAGAACCCATGATCTTAACTTTACTATATTGCTTTCAATTTAACTTTTCTAGATATCAAGTATAGCAAAGTACTTTTTATATGTTTAATTTTTTTGTTAATTCTGATCTGAATAGCTCAACAGATTTTCTTTACTACATATCCTAAGAGACTGATAAGAGGATGTTAGACATTTCACTTTAACAAACCTTGGGAACTCCCTGTCATTAGTCATACACATATGAATATGAATTTATACATTGACATTTTCAGTTCTGGAGTTTTACAAGCCTTTAAGCATGTATATCTGAGCAGTGTTTTTTGTATAGTACTTAAAACATTATCATTTCTGTTGGAAATACATAAAGTACCTGTGCTTCAAGAGCTTACAGTTATGTGAGGTAAAATAGATGTCTGTACAAAGGCAGTATTGAAAAGAGGTGAAGAACGCATTTGGGATACAAACCAAGTCATCTACACGACTTGAGTTTGACCCCTGATTTCACCACTTGTTGCGTGACCGCAGGCATGTTACTTAAACTTTCTGAGCTCTAGTTCCTCATCTGTTAGATGAAGACAGATGTTTGTTACTCATCTTCCTCTGAGGTGTTTGTAAGGGTTACTCTGTGAGATACTCTGAGGATGAAATGAACTAATACGTATAAGTGCTTAGTACCATAGTACCAGGTATATATCAAGTATGCAGATATTATTAGCTGTTATTACATGATTCTCATGTACTATGCGAATGGAGTGGATTGATAAATGTATACTTTAGTAATGGAGCTATCTGTTCTTAACACCAATATCCTAGTATTTTTGTGTGCTGCTTTAAATTTCTTTCTGAGGAAACATTAATAACAGCGGTTGCTATTGGAAAGAGGACTAGGGGTCTGGGTAGGAGACAATTGTTATTTTCATTGTATACTTTCTTGTACTGTTTAAATTTTTTTATTACATGTGTTAATCTAACTATACCACTAATTACACTTTTCATGGGTTGTATGGTAGTGTACTTTTATCATACTTAGGAGTCAGTTTGAAATGTTGCCTTGAACATTTTTTCTTGAAGATAATAGACTACATTTTCAGGCAGTAATAATTCATACTAAATAATTCTTATCAATTCCATGGTCAAGACAAAACAAAGCCCTGACATAGTTTGTAATTGTTTTTACAGCTTGGTTTATGAATAGAGCAAGATTGAAATAGTCTGTGTTCTTGCTTTATCTCCTTTTTTTATTGAGATGAGGGACAGAGGGACCATGCCATATTTCTAAACTTCTCCCATTACCTAGCATTGTATTTTTTACATAGTATTTTCCAGATGCTTTATTGTTTTTGCAAATATTAACCTAATTGATCAGGTTAATTAACAGTTGAAGCAAGTATTGCTTCTTGTTGCCCTTGCATTATTTGTTTTTCTTGGTGTTTGGAAACATCTGAGCCTCTTTGGTTGTTGAAGAAGGCCAGATAAAGGGCTAAGAAGACTTTACTCTTACAGATTTACCAGTCAATAATCTTGAATAATAACTAATTGTGTTGCGTTTTTAGTGCTGAGGTAAATATTATGTGTTCATTTTAGGATAATTTCCAGCAGTGTTACAAGCGAGGAGGGACATCTGGTGGTCCTCGGGCAAATTCAAGAGGTAAGGATGATTAACTGAGTAATTTATCTACCCAAAACATACCTCTAGATCTTTCTTCATCTTCTGTCAAGTTCTCCCCAAAGTTCATTGTTTTCAGCATTGATTTTGTTGATGTTTTCAGTTTGCATACGTTGTAGTTATAAAGACCTGAGAGAGATATTAGATTGCTTAGAAAAGCTGTGGAAATCAGTTTTCAATTTAATTAAGAGAGACAGACACAGATATTGACTGATTCAGTTTTTTGACACCAGAGCATAATTTAACCTTAGATATATGTTCACAATTTTGACTTCAAATAGTCACATGTGATGTTTCAGGATGTTGGTTTTTGTAATAATGGGCACTTCGAGATACTCTGGGTGTCACTATATTAGTAATTAGGAATAAATAACAATTAAGACTTGAAACAAAAGCAAGAAGGTACTTATAATACTTTTTAAAATGTGATGGTACTGTTAAAAGATTCAGTGTAACTGAAAAAAATCAAGAATTACTGAAGATTAACTAACTTTGTCACAGGAAAACAATCTTTTCCTTTTAAGAAAGTAGCCAGTATTCACATTGCCTTATATCTGAGCAGTGTTTTTTGTACAGTTCTTAAAACATTATCATCTGATGATATCGCATTAACTTGGAAATAAACAACAAGCATTCATCATGGGGCTTATAGTACCATAACAAAATATCTTTCAATGGCTGGTAGTTTTAAAAGTTGATTCTTTTATGTAATCTCAGTTTTCTTGTGTCCTTCTACATCAGATACTTTGAATAGGTTAGTAATGAGGAATGAGGAGCACAGTGAGAATTATAGGAGAAAGATAAAGAAGTAAAAAGAATGTGCAAACCTGGATTTTAGACTTTGCTAACCTTAACTAGTGTTAAGTTATTCAAACTTTCACGGGCCTTATTTTCTTAATCTTAAAAAAATAAAAAAGAGACTACTAGACAAGGCCATCTTCCACCTTTAGAATAGTGGTGTGAAAGCGTATTGCCAGAAAAATGTAGAAAAGCATACTGTAGCTATACTTTATTGCTTTTGTTTTGGAATTGACTATAAAATGTATCTTTGTGTTTCAGTAGCCGACTAATGTTAAATATTGTGTTCAAAGCTAACTGCTTCATTATGAGAAACTCACTGTTGCTAATAAAACAGCAGGGTGGAGTGATTCTTCTCAGGTGAGCAGCCCAGAAAGAGACAACGAAACCTTTAACAGTGGTGACTCTGGACAAGGGGACTCCCGTAGCATGACCCCTGTGGATGTGCCAGTGACAAGTCCAGCAGCCACCATACTGCCAGTCCACGTGTATCCTCTGCCTCAGCAGATGCGAGTTGCCTTCTCAGCAGCCAGAACCTCTAATCTGGCCCCTGGAACTTTAGACCAACCTATTGTATTTGATCTTCTTCTGAACAACCTGGGAGAAACTTTTGATCTTCAGCTTGGTCGATTTAATTGCCCGGTGAATGGCACTTATGTTTTCATTTTTCACATGCTAAAGCTGGCAGTGAATGTGCCACTGTATGTCAACCTCATGAAGAATGAAGAGGTCCTGGTATCTGCCTATGCCAATGATGGTGCTCCAGACCATGAAACTGCTAGCAATCATGCAATTCTTCAGCTCTTCCAGGGAGACCAGATATGGTTACGTTTGCACAGGGGAGCCATTTATGGAAGTAGCTGGAAATATTCTACATTTTCAGGCTATCTTCTTTATCAAGATTGAAAAGTCAGTACAGAATTGACAACAAGAGGATGGTGTTCTCTTTAGTGGGATTAAAGGAAAAGTAGTCCTTGACCTTGTGACTGATTGGTTTAGGAAAATGTTTTCATTCCTAGAGGAAGGAGCAGGTCCTTACTTTTTTGTTTTCCTCCCCAAGGTGAAAAAATTCAAGCTGAATGACACTTAGCACTAATCTGGCACTTTATAAATTGTGATGTAGCCTCACTAGTCAAGCTGTGAATGTATATTGTTTGCACTTAATCCTTACCTGTATTAATGTTCAGCTTACTAAACTGACTGCCTCAAGTTCGGGCAAGTTATAATGCCTTGTTGTGCCTCAATAAAAAAGTTACATGCACCTTCAGTGTTCTTATTTGGTTAAATGTTTAATTGAGGAGTAAAATACTTAATTTTTAGTATTCATCACTCTTGAATTTTTAGTATTCATAACTCTTGAATAAGGGTATTTATGGATTCATACTATTATGTGAAAATATGAAGCCTTTTATATGTAGCAGTTTCTTTAAGAGTTACTTTTCTCTGATATAAATGCTGTTCATCAAAAGATTTCATTTGTTTTTCATTGGCCAAATAACACATTTTCCTTGAAGCTATCTTGCAGGAGGGCATGTGTTATCTTATAGTTAGCCATCTTCAAGGTGCAATAGCAGATGTACAGGTAATACTGCTGGTCCACCATCAGTCAGGCTAATGCTTTCTAGTGGATTCTCAATTTGAATAACAAAATGTTTAGTCATCAAAAAGCATAGGTTTGTGGTCAGGTAATGCTCTGCTTGAGTCCTGATTTTGCCACGTAGTAACTGATCTTGGGCAAATTACTTTATCCCTGAGATCTCTCTTCTGTTTTTTTGTAAGACCATTTCCCCAGATGTAAAATGGGGGTGATGATAGATCAACTTCATAGGGCAGTTGTGAAGTTCAACTAAGAATATATCTAAAAGACTTAACACAGTGCCTGACACATCAGTGTTTAATTAATGTTAGGTGCTATAATTGTCTTTCTTTTTGAAAACTTAAGGTTTCTCTCTGTGTGTATATCTTGAGTTATGTAGCGTAGCAGGCACTGCCAGAATTTAGTATCCATTCTAGACATGTATTCTCACAGTTCACAATTTAAGCTTGTATGTTTCTCATTAATAAGAACTTAATGAATATTTTATTTCTCAATTACTTTAAAGAATAGTTTTCAAAATTAGCATTTTGGTTGCAATATTCTGGAGTATATTAAGGGTTGGAGAAGGCCATTCTTACTCTGCAACCAAGGCAAGTCACTTGCTGAGGCAGAAAGTTCTTGTTTTGACCCTCCTCTCACTCTGAGGTGTTAAGTAATCTCAGGAAGATAATATAAGAGCATTAAATTATTATAGTAATATTTTTGAGTTGGGCATGGTTCCAGCAATTAAACTCTGAAAGCGTGCTTAACTGCGATATTAAATGTTAGTGTAGTGTTCTCAAGATAGAGGATGTAGTGTGATTTACTATTTAACAGAACTTTTCAATTCGTGGTAGGTACTTTGTGGGCTAGGGATATTAGTATTCCTGATAAATTAGTTCATGGCTTTTCTGTCCAGAACACAAAAAAGCATATAGAAAAGCAGAAATATGATCAAGTGATTGAGGGGAAAATTTGATGTTTAAGAATGGCGTTGCCTACGGCTGTGCCACCCTGAACAAGCCCGATCCCGTCTGATCTCGGAAGCTAAGCAGGGTCAGGCCTGGTTAGTACTTGGATGGGAGACCACCTAGGAAGACCAGGTGTGTAGGCATAAAAAATTAAAAATAAGGGATTGTAAGCTGACAAGGTCCTTGCAATCTATGAGGTCAACTAAGGTTGCCTCGCCTAAAAAAAAAAAAAAGGTATTCATCAAGTTCGAGGAGGCCTTTCTCAGCCTTTTTTAGCTGTTATGTTTTGGACTACAGTAAGGTCTTTAGCTTAGTCTTTTCTTCTGTACACAATGTTTGTTTAAAATATTTTGAGTGCCTCCATATTTTTTAAGGTGTCATAACAAGAGATTAACTAGGGTATCCCTTCATAATTGTCATGTTTTAAGAGAGTATTTTAAATGAAATACTGTTTTTCTAAGTGTAAAGACAATGAACTGGATATTGACGACTCAGGCTTATGAGAATAAATGGACAAGAGCTTTCATGCTGAAGCAATATGGTAACTTTTTGAAGATAGTTTTTCTGAAAGCCTTTAGTAAAAAAAAAAAATAGATAGCTTTACAGAAAGATGTATACATGCACAGAGTTTAGATACATTTGCAAGAGATAGAGTGAGGATCATATATATATAGCCCATTTGCGGACTTTGTGTAAAGAACTTTAATGGGAAGATCTTGTAGATATGACTGAAGTGGAAAGGCATGCTATATAATTACTATGTAGTCCCGAGTTTATAGATACTTAGTTGTCTTACTGGAGGTGGAGGTAAAGTAAGTTTTTCTATTTACTAAATTATCCCCCAGGTTTTTATCTTTCACTTTAAATCTTTTAGTTTTTTGTAAAGTGAATTTTTCTCCAAGAATTGTGAGCTACTGGCTCTTATGTCTTCTAAAATGATTTAGTAAATAAATGCAGGTATTTTTTTGAAACAGGAGCTTTTTTGAGGGGTTTATTCACTTGCCTCCTCCACCAATTATCTGTCAACCATCTCATTTTTAACTTTCTCAACTTGCTATGTTTTTACAGTGATTTTTAATACTTTGATTCTTTTTCAAAGTTTTAATTCCTTAGCTTTAATGGCTGATGTTCTATTGTGATTCTTTTGATAACTAGGATGATATTTTATGTATTAAGTGAAATAATTGCTGGCATATAGACACTAAAGTTTTTCCATATGAGCTCCACTGTGCACACATACCAAACACTTTATTTTGATAAAAAAGTTTAGATTTGTCTCTCTAGGTCCTCTACTTGCTAATCTCTCTAAGGGGTATTCTTAATCACCACTTTAACGATTAGGCCAATAGCTTTGTCCTCATTTTTCAAGCTCTTGGGCAAGTGTTGACAACAGATAGGTACAACTCACTTGCTACCAGTGCAAGATATTGAATTCCAGGTTATAAAATAATGTCAACCATTATCAATACCAAGAGGCCTGAGGCTCACTGATTCTGTTTCTCAAACATCCCTTTATTCATTTTATTTCAAGGGCCTCATACCTTGAAATTTAATGATTAGTCTTTCAAATACATGGGTTTTCTGGTTTACACCTGGCTTTAGGATTACAAAGATGAATGACATTCAGATGTTCAGACACATCAGGTAGCAGGTATATTAATTTCCTCTGCTGAGAGCAAATCTTGAGTTATTTCATTGCTTTCTATCATACCCTAATTTTTTCTCTTCTATATCTGGAATGTTTACTATTCAGAAGTGAGACCTCCTTGGACCAGTTCTTTAAGTTTCTCATCTTTTGTCTCAAAGTTTCACTTTCTGGGAGGTTTCCTGGATTTTCATCTTTCAACCTTTTGCAGAGTTTAAAATTTCTGCTACGTTTAAAATTTAAAATACATTTCTGTTATATGAACATTCCTTACATATATGTATTCTGTTCTTGTTTCACGATTGCATTATTTCTAGTTTTAAAGATTAAGTTTTCTTCTGTAGTTTATTTCTTACACCTTTGTTTTGTTTTAGTCTCTTATCTGTAATATTATATTTGCTTAGAATCTTATGATAATTGGTTGACTTTATATTTACAAATGGGGCACCAAAGGGTTGAAGTTTTGAATGTGAAAGTGGAACTTGTTGACTTTTGGTGGGAGAACACAAGTGTAGGGTATGGAAGAGCTTCCTAAGTAGGACATAAAATCCATGAAAGATGGACAAATTTGATACAACTTGTTCCCCTAAAACTTCTGTTTAGGAGAAATCATGTCAAAAGAGGAATGATCACCTGTGGAGGCGGGGGAGAGGGGAATCATTAAGAAAAAGATGTCTCAGACAAGGGCAATATATATGAAGAGGCGATTCATACATACAAAAAATGATCAATAAGCATATGTAAAGTTTTAGAGTACATATTTTGACAAGCATGTATAGAAATGGGCGTTCATACTGTAGATGGGAATGAAATTGGTACATTTTTGGAGTGTAAATTGGCAATAACCATCAAGATAAAGTACATGCTTTCTGACCCAGAAATTCCACTGCTAAGAATTTACAAATAGTTTTAGAATTATGTCAAGGTAACACGCATGCAGATATTTTGTATAGCATTATAATAGCAAAATTGGAGAAACAACCTAGATGCCTGTCAGTAGCAATTGGTTAAATAAGGCAAAATGATACAGTCAGAGTGTGCAACATCATTTGTGTGAAAATTTCTAAAAGTATGCGTATGTGATTACTTGAATCATTTTTTTCTGTTAGTAGCCATAAGAAATTTTGATAGTGTTGGCCTTATGGAAAGGGGGTTGTAGTAGGAGGGAGGAAGATGACTTTTCATTCTGAATCTTACTGTAGAACTTGAAATGTACATATCACTTTTGTTAAAAAAAAAATCTTAAAAGATAAAATGGTAGGTTGCTATGGTATTTACCCTGCCTTGTTTTTCTTTGGATTATCCACTTGAGGGTTTATTTTAATTATCATTAAGCCTGGAATAACACATGGAGGAGCTTTACCATAGAAATCTAAATACCTTCCACCTTTCGCTAATATTTGCATTTCACCTCATAATTTACAGAGTACTTTCATCTATGTAATCTTATTCGATCCTCACAATGACCCTTACGAAGTAGATACTGTTTTAGGAGATAAAAATAGAGACTCTTGGAGATTGACTTCCTAAGGCCGCTAGTATAAGTGCCCAAGCCAGATTTGGCTTTCTCAAGTCCAAATACAGCATAGCATTTTCTACTGTACTTTTCTTCTTCAGTTCTCAGGGTGCTATTACCTTCACTGTATTTTCCACTGCTGTTTTGCATGCACACGTTTTTGGTGCGCTACTCAGCTTTGCCATGGCAAACTAAATGCTTTGTGAAGTGGACAAGTGCACTCAGTTGAGTCTGTCAAAAGTTATAGTTTCTCATGGATCCTGAAGTTGAGGCAGGGTGACTTCGTTTCCAGTGTGAAATGTGGAAAGCCTGAGGAAATGAAGACAAAACATTTTGAGGGGAAAATAACTGATTCGAAAATAGATGTTTCTTCTTTAGTTCTAGTTAATGCTGCTATTTTTAGCTTCTGTCCCTCCCCACCACCACTACCATTTTAGTCTGTAGGAGAAGGAAGTTTCTGACTTCTGTTCAGAAACTCCCTAACCCCCTGTTACTTTAGTTTACATATCACTGATTTCTTTTTTTTTTTTTTTAATTTCTCTAATAGGTCTGTTACATTCTTAGAAAATTCTACTCAAGGCTTTTGGTTACATCTTAAAGGAGATTACTGTTGACTTAACAAAATACTAAGAATCTTATAAAATGTATCTATGTACTCGTCTATATTTCAGGTGCTCTGCCAATATTGATACTTATGGAGTAGAAGAAGGATTTAATCACAAGCTTTCCAGTATTCACCACACATTATTTAACATGGTTTAAAAGACATATTGTTAAACTTACAGGTAGGGACTTTTGTGCATTGGGTTTTTGCTCCTATTTCCTTTTTACCATATGGGCTAGATTTAAGCCTACTCACATGTACCAGCAGATGAGCTGCTGCCAACGGATGCGGAGGACAGCTGTGTGATATTCCATTTAGATGACTAAAATGTTAAATTTCAAAAAAGGCCACAGTGGCAGTGCTTGGCGTAAAAAATTACTTTGTGTAACCTGAGCTGTAACCATGTTAGTTGTTCTCATTGGATGCTATATTTCTAGGGTAATAACATCCACTTCTATGGTGTCAGCTAACCTCTATATACAGATGACTCACAGTTTTTTAACTCCATCCTTTTATTTCTTCCTCTTCCCCCTGTCATAGCTTCCTGTCTTCTCATCCAGCTTTTTTTGTGAGTGCCAGATAGAGATTTCCAATGGTCACTGGAAATTTCTAGCTGTATAACCCATAAGCTCGTCTAGTTCAACATGTCCACAGGCAAATTCATCTCTCCTCCCAAATCTGATGCTCCTTCCCATCTTCTCTGGTTAATGACTTCCACAGGTCATCAGGGCTTGAAACTTTAGCATGATTCTTAATTCCCTTTGCTACTTTGTTTATTTAATCAGTCACAGATTCCTGTTGATTCACCCTGTGAAATGTCTCATATCTCTCTTACCTTATTTATTACTACAGTGGCTATCCTGTTTCAGACCCCATATTTCTCGTATATACATCCATTTATTCATTCAGCGAGTACTTATTGATTGCTTATTATGTGCTAGGCATAGTGTGAGACTATATCTCACCATGACACATTCCTCAGAGGTTGAAAAAGGTCTTTCCTCACTCCTTTTAAATAGAATACAACGAAAATAGTTAATATTGAGCATATACCATGAGCCATGTGCTTATCTCATTTAGTCTTCACAACATCTCTTAGAATCAGATGAGGAAACAGGCACAGAGATGAGGCATATGCAAGCCATAATACAACAAGACAAAATAGCTCAAATTTAAAACAAGATGAGCTTATCAATAAATACAGACATCTTTTCATATCATGTAAAGTAATAAAAAAGGGGACTTGATCACATATAAGTTAAACATAGTTTTGGGAAAAGTTTTAAAACAAATCAGGACAGAATTATAAATGCTTATGGTTGTTTTTTTTTTTCCTATTGTATCAGATATTACTAATTTGACAGCATTGTTTTATAATTGTCTTCACTGATTCTTTTCAAAGCATATGAAGTTTTCATGGAAACGTCAACTCTGTATATTAACATTTTTATTTTGAGATAAAAATGTAATTGGAAGAAATAATACAGATGGATCTTGTGTACCCTTTATCCAGTTTGCTTCATTGGTCACATCTTGCAAAACTATAGTACAATATCATAACCAGGATACTGAGATTGATACTGTCAAGATACAGAACATTTCCATCACCACAAGAATCCCTCATGTTGCTCTTTTATAGTCACGTCCACTTCCCTGTTGTCCCACCTCGACTTTGACTCTTCACAACCACTGATTTGCTCTTTGTATGATTTATTATTTAAAGAATATTATATGTAAGAATGTTACATAAATGGAATCAGATAGTATGTGACCTTTTGGGATTGGCTTTTTTCACTTAGCATAATTCTCTGAAGATTCATCCAGATCGTTGAGTGTGTCATTCCTTTTTATTGCCCAGTAGTGATCTTTGGTATAGATGTGCTACAGTTTGCTTAACTGCCATTTTCCAGAGAATCTGTACCATTTTACACTCCTTCCAAAAAATATACGAGTGATTCAGTTTTTTTTTGCATCCTTGCAAGCATTTGGTACTGTCATTATGTTTTTTTAAATCTCTTCTCTCCTTTTATGTTATTGGAATGACTGCATCAAGTCTCTCCCTACTCTAAATCATCTTTAGTGCTACCAGAGTTCAGTTTTAGACATGTGCCTTAAAGGACTTGGGTACATTCAGGTAGAAATGTAGTAGGCATTTGGATACATCTAGTTTAAGGAAAGAGATCTTGGTTATTAGTTTTGTAAGTCGTCCCTATTGAGTTGATAGTTAAAATTACATAAGTGGATGAAATGACAAAAATAGAATGAGAAGAGAAAGAAAAATGGGCTGAGAACAGAGCTTTGAGAAGCACCAGTGTTTAAGAGTTAGTTAGGTGATCAAGCGAATAATCAAAGGGTTAGGAATATATTCTTTAAGAGAAAACAAATATTAAAAAAGAAGAGCATGTAATATAGTGTCAAATACCAGAGCGAGACTTTGATGAGAGCTGAAAATGTCTCCTGCATTTGGTATGTAAGGGATCAATGTTGATTATTGCTTGGAAATGGTGGGAGAAATGAGGGCAGAAGCCTGGGGATAGCTGATTGAAGCATGAATAGTAAATAAGGAGATAGAGACAGTGAATGAAGACCATTCTTGGGAATGAGAAGTGAAAAAAAAAATGAACAATAAGAAAGCATTACTGAAGAAGACTTTTTTTAATTGGGGGAAATGTTTTTAGGTTGAGGTTGAATCACTGAAAAGAGGCTGAAAATATAGGAAAAAGTTTTATAAGTTGTCAACAATGAGCATGATAATACCTCAAATTTATGTTAATGAAAAATATATAGAAGCAAGAAGAGATATTATGGAGCAAGGTTCCAGAGGAGATGGGAGAGGGTTGGGTTCAGATGGGAGGATAGGAGGTGAAGAAGGGTAAACAAAGATGAATTTGTGTTTGAGTGAGTTGAGCCCGATGGCTTTGCTCATCTTTGAAGGGCTCTGTGAGGAGGGGTAGGGAGTTTGAAAAGAGTTTTGAGTGTTGGGACAGTTGCTGAAGGAATAGAAGATGGTGGTGATCAAAGACAAGGAATAGGATTGTTGAGCCTGAGAAAACACACATTTGTAGTGGCATCAATTTGCACAGTGCGTCAAAGGTAGATCTGAGAAATGAATTTGGAGTTTAATAGCAAAGAAGGATATGTAGTCAGAAATAGACTGAGGAGAACTGGAAAATGATTGAGTTGGAAAATAGGTGTAGAATTATTGAGGGAGAGGGAGAAGAATAGATCTTAACTTGAAAAGAGGATATTGGAATTAAGACTTCAGAGGTCAAGGAGTTTTAGATTATCAAGAGGTCCAAGAGAGTGGGTTAATGAAATAGCATCGAGATGAAAGGCATTATGTTTTCTAAGACCGTGGAGTACTGAGTTTGTATTTTATCTTGAAATTGGTGGAAAATCATCAAGGAAGGCACACGACTGTATTAACCCTTAAGAAACATTACTCTGATGGCAATGTGGAGAATAAATTAAAGAAGGGCAAAACTGGAAGCAATCAGAGACATATTGCTAGATACTTTTGCACCCAACTAAGGGGCATTGTCCCATTTACAGCCTCTGCAGAGGGGATGGAAAGCTTTCAGGTAGCCAGGTTTTCTGCCACAAATATTCTACCCAATTGATTGAACTCAATTAATTGAACCAGTCTAAATTATCTGCTTCTGGAAAGGTCACAACCCCTCAGATGTATTTTGCCCACCGTCATTTATTATTTACTAAGCGTAATTAGACTCCCCGTTCTGGGTTAACCTCAGAAAGAAGAAGCTCCTTAATATTTTTATACCATTGAAATTGCCAGGCCAGATGTGGCCATAGTGAGTGGAAACAGTACTACTTTTCTGAGACGGTCCAGAAAATTTTCAGAAACTCTCAGGCATGTTGTTAGTTTCTCTAAGATCTGTATTTCCAGAATTACTCCGTAAATATATTTTATCTGTTTATATGTTTACATTTGTCTCTTCTGTCAGATTGTAAGTTCCATCGTAGTAAGCCCCATCAAATTCATCTTGTAATGTGGTACCTAAATATTTCAGTACTCTGGCTCAAAAACACGTTTAGCAAATGTTCAATGCATGAGTGAATGAATGAATGAATGATGGCTCCCATAGACCGAGGGAACCCCGTCCTCTTGTGGGATGGATCGCATGGTCCCCACAAGTCTGCCACGGAACAGGCTCCGTTGTGATGCCCACACAGTTCTAGGACTACCAGAAAGGGCCGTCCCGTCTGCATCTGTTTCATTTGGAAGCAGCTGGGGAGAGCCCCGCCGCCAGGTCGCTTCCCCAGCTGCCGGGGCCGTTTTCAGCACACGGCATGGCGGCCGCCTGCGGGAGGCAGCGGGCCGAGCCCTGCTCCGAGGCCAAGACGCGGTACGCGCGCCGGCCGCTGGGGGGCGCCCGCCCAGCCTTACGCTCGGGGGAAGCGGCCGCCGTAAAGGAAGCGCCGTTTCCTCTCTGACTTCTCCCGCCTCCCACCGGCTGTCGTAAAAGGGTGAATGGAGAGCGAGTTGTGGGGGGGTGGAAAGGGAGGACAGGGGGCGCGGAGTCAGAGTGGCGCAGCAAGTGGCTGCAGGTGGCGACGGTGGCGGGGAGTGGGGAGTGAGGTAGTCCGGGGGTCACGGAGAAGGAGGCTGAGAGGGTCGAAAGGAAAACTCAAGCTGCAGTCTGGCCTACTGGTCCGGGGGCCGCGGAGCCCCCACCCGGGGAGATGGACCTCAACCGAATCATCCAAGCGCTGAAGGGCACCATCGACCCGAAGCTGCGGATTGCAGCCGAGAATGAGCTCAACCAGGTGAGGAGCAGGCCCGCGGCGTCCCCTGCCTCCGGCTGCCCGGGCTGTCCCTCCTCGGCGCCCCTGATCGCCACCCCCACCGGGGCTCCGAGCCCGGCGCTGCTCTCGGCCCGGGGCGCCCCCCGCCCCCGCCCCAGCCTGGCGGCGCTCCCGGGATCTTTCCTGAACAGCCCTCGCACCTGTTGGCCGCCTTTGCATCTTTTCATGTCGTTTTCCTTCCCCAGTGCAGCTTGTTGAGCCGGCTTGGTCCGCAAAAAGCGGCTTTAGCAACCTTTGCCAGTGTTTTCAGGGTGAGATTTCTTGAAGTACGCTGACTTGGGGGCGCGGGTAGGAAAATTCACTTAAAATTCGAATCTGAGTTCAGCTTTTCTCCAGACCCAGCCCTTTTTAGGTGTTGCTCTGGGAAACCCTGCCCATTGCCTGCTTCTGTGGGGCTGGCAGGGCTGTTTTGACACTGATTGGCAGAGTTTTGTTGGAGCGCTGGGAAATGCTGTCGGGAGAGTGCTATGGGAAGAGTAGGCAGTTTTCATGGTGGGACTGCTTTACAAAAGACACGTCGAATAATACTTGTTTGGAGGGATTTCTAATAAGCGCCAAAATATGTAAGACTTTCTTTTATTCCCCCGTCCTCGATTCTTACTAACTAGCCTTGACCTGGTTCCAGCGATACTACCGACATTCCCAAATTTTAATGATCTCACACTCTAGCTTATTTTTTCCTCTTCACCTGTAAGAATTAATCATAGACTTTTCACTAAAAAGTACCTATTAAGGTCTAGCCCCAGGATAGAATGACAGCTGTTTGAGGTCGTGATAATCCTTAAAATATAAAGGAATACTCCTAAATTAGTGGTTCTCAAAGTGTTGCCCGGGATGAGCAGCGTCAACATCACCTGGGAACTTGTTGGAAATGCAAATTATGGGGTTTTACTCTAGACTTAAGAAGTCAGGAACTTGGAGAGTGTGTTTTAATTAGCTAGCTAGGTGATTCTGTGCTTCCTGTAGTGTGAGAACGACTGTCCTAAGTGAACGTTTCTGTAGTTGACTAAGATATTCTCTAGCTGGAGTTGGCTTTCAAGTGCAGGTATGCCTGGGGACTCTTTGAAAGGGATGACTCTAATGGGAAATCTGGGTGGAGCTTGGAGTAAGCGTGAGTCCAGGATTTCCAAAAGATAAAAGGGAGAGTGAAAACACTGACTCATGGGTGAAGGTTGAGTTGAAGGGAAGCCCAAAGGAAATGTACTGGTGCCTCGAAAAGAAAAGGACTCTTACTCAGAATAGGAGAAAGTTAAAATCAGTACCTGTCCAAGTCTTTGCATAGTAGAAGTACTATTTGTTGATTGGCTAGAAAAGTAGTAATCCAGGGGTTGGTTAGGAGGAACAAAACAAGAGCTGAACTTGCAATCTACTAGTATGAACAGGGGAGTTGGCCTGTCAGCTACTCCCTCTCCTCACAATGAGGCCAGATGTTACTTTGATAACGTCAATAGGGATCGGATCTTTGATACCATGCTATACTTTCCTGCCTGTTAGCCTACCCTTTCTTTATTTCTGATTCATCAATATGTAAGTGCAATTGACTTTATAGAAGTGGAAAAGAGAGATGGGAGAGCCTGAAGAACTAGAAGAGACATTTAGAACCCAATTCTATCTTTTTCTTCATGGTATTTCAATCCAAATCCATTTCATTCTCACTTTTCCCTGCCCCATATTCCCCTAGGTCATCACAGACCACAATTTCCTCTGCAGCTTCTAAAAGTAGCTTATTGCTATGCTACTCATATAGCAATTGTATTTTGTATAGTGCTTTGGATTGTAATATGCTCTCACTAAGTAGTTTTTTGACTTGTCTGTAAGTAGAAGACTAAAGTATGCCACACAACCTTGTAGGAAAACATGGTTATAATGTTAGGTTTTGTATGCTTATTTTACTTTTACCATTCTGCTTTGTTGGGTAAATAAACAGGTGGATAATTTACCATAAGTGATTAGGGGCAAGCTCATTTCTTTTAGTCTAGGTCCCTCCTCAGCAAATATGTTCTGCATAGAAAATGGGAGTAGTTTCTACAGTGTACTGATTATTTGTTAGTTTCCATTTAGAAGACTAGGCATCTTCAAAATATAACAGCCTTATTTGGAACTATATTATTCTGGGGCCATCATAATTTCCATTACCAGTGACTAGTTCCTTGATTGCTATTTGCGATGTTGTTTCTGTGGGAAAATGCATTTTCATTTTTATCTCAGGATATTAAGAATGCATTCTGTGCGCATTCCTCTTGGTATAGAGCCCCAGAATTCCCTTTAGCAGCAGCATAGGGAGGTAGGAATGGGTAGATATCTTGCTCCAGTAACTCATCTAGAAATGTGTCGTCTTTTAATAAATCATTCTCCACATGACCTCAACAGGGAAATAAGGATATGTGCTTTCATTGCCAAGCTCTAGAATCCCTGCTTTTCCATGTATCTGTAGGTATCATTTCTATTGCCCTTTGAGAGAGTTCACTTATGTGAATAACATGTTTATGTTATATTGCAGATACTAGTATAAGACTCTGCTCTCATAGAGCTTACATTCTAGTGGGGGATGCAGACAAGTAAATAATATAATTTCAGATCATGACTGCTATACAGAGATTTGAAGCCTTAGAGTTTGTTGGGATGTATGTATAGCATGATCATTCTCTGAGGAATGACAATGAGTAGAGACCTAGGTGTTGTGAAGGAGTGAACGAAGTGGAGAACTGGGAGAGGAACAGAGGGAAGGGTAGGTTCAGTAGAGACCCTTAACTTGGCGTGTTGGAGGACTAGAAAAGTTAATGTTGAGGGGGCAGAGAGGCAGAGAATGGGAAACATAGGTCTTTGCTTTAAATGAGTTCTCATAAAATGCAGAATTTAGCTAAGCAATTAAGGTCTTTAAGAAAACTTCCTAGATACAAAGTAAATATCTTCAAGAAGTCATTGAGAAATGTCTTATTATTTTTCTTAGAAACGTGAAGCCCAAAGTGGAAAAAGAAATTGGATAAATATTTGTGAGTTAAGTAGTATGAGAATACATCTGAATTTACCATTGTATGTTTTAACTGGCTAAGTTTACATAGATTGAGTCAAGGCTGAAAGGAGAAGACGAAAAGTTGCAGAAGGTCTTTGAATTAGCAAACAGTTGCAAAAAGAGGAGTTCCAAAATGTGTACAATGGCAACAGTGTTGAAATAAAAGTAGTTTCCCCAATAACTACTTTCATATAAGTAGCATTAATCTAAGTGTAAAGGTTGTTTTGTACGTAATGTGTAGATTTTTAAAAGAATAAAATTATATAGATTAGAACTGAACTATGTAGGTATTTTAATCTTTGATTCACTACAAGATCTTCCAGTATTTCAGAAGTTACAAACAAGAGTTATAATAATGCAAATGTGGAAATTGTTGGAGATTGGGCTAAATCTGTATTAATTTTGACTTCTGTAAACTGGTGTTAAAAGAAATTTTTCTTTTAAAATTCTGGTTGTTTCAATTGTGGACAAAAGAATTTACTTCATATACAACAGATTTAAGATTCCGAGGTTTATACAGGATAAAAGGAAGAAAAATTAATAAGATAATTCAAAATTTTACTGAAAGATACAGAAAGGTTTGGAAAGCACGATGTTCTTGGCTGGAAAGGATCAATATTTTAAACCTGCTAGTTTTCTCCAAAAATTTTAGTCAAAGATTTATTTTAATAAATGCTGTTATAAATAAGTAGGAAACATCTTTCCTACTTAAATTAAAAAATTAAATGGTATGCATAAACCTAGTGGTGTATCGAAAGGGATGCCACCATAGAACCAGGCTTGTGGGTTCTTGAATAGACTCTCTGTGTCATTTGTCTGACTTTTAGCCTTGCTGAGAATTTACGAGTCTTTTCTGGAAATGTCAGTGGGCAAGGCCAAGTATAAGCTCTGTTAATACGGTCTAGGTAGTAGACATCTGGTGGAATATGGTCAGAAGGAATGTATATTTTTGTTCTTCTAAAGTCATCATAGCTGAACTCAGGAGTAGGTCAAAGTAGACATTTCTGTGGGGTGAAATGACCCAGGCAGCAGGCACTTTGTCAACACAGGACATTTGTTAGGTTTAAAAGATGCTCCAGCACCAGAGGGCAGCTGCTGATGACAGCTCTCAACACTGTTCCAATCTGGGCTGGTTCCTCTCCATAGCTCATACATAGCTATTTAATGTTATTTTGTCTATTTTCCTGTATCAGATCTTCTGTTTTCTGTAGCACATGTTTTTCTCTTTGTCAAAAATACCATAAACAAAATCGAAGCATAGATAATCTGGGAAAAAACACTTGCAATAGATAGGTCGAATAAAAAGGTGAGATTGTAAATTCAGAAATAGTTCTTAGAATTTATTAAGACTAAAGCAAATATTCCATGTACAGAAGGATAAAGAGAATAAGAAATTTGTAGGAAAAAACAAGTAGCCAACAAACAGGAAAAAATTCAACCTTTAGGAAATGTAATTTAAAATATGAATAGGGTTTTAAAAATTTGAAGGAATGATAATGCTAATCCCTATACTAGATGGATGGACACACTCATATACTACTATTGAGAGTGTAAATTGCTACACCCTTTCTGGAGAGCATTTTGACCATATATATATATAAAAAAAATAAAATGTTCATATTCTTATATTCATCAATGCTAAATAATATTTTTTGATATGAAGTATTTTAATAATCTTTGTTTTACCTTGGAGAGCTTCTCTCACTTTAAAAGTTTTTCTTTTACTTACAGTGGTATATATGGTAACAGGTACTAATTTTCATTGATATTGCCCTATTTTATAAATTTTTTTTGTAATTTCAGTCCTACAAGATTATCAATTTTGCCCCCAGTTTGCTTCGGATTATAGTCTCTGACCATGTGGAATTCCCAGTACGCCAGGCAGGTGAGTTGGTTTTTTAGCCTTTATAAATATATTTATGGTGGAAGTAGAAGTGAGATTTTATTCTAAATATTTGTGATTGCTTAAAAAAATAGGAAACAAATATTTCTAATAGCTTAAAAAATCACTTTCTCTCTGGAAACTTAGAGGTCGATACTGAGCTCTTAAAACTCCCCTAGCTTTTTCTTGCCTCTTCTTCCTCCACCTACCAATTCTTTGCCTCTGTAACTTTGTCATTTTTCCCCTTAGATTTCTCGATTTTGATAGCTTAATTGCCCTAATTTTTTTATGATTCCTGGTGGTTAGCTTTTGGGCCCAGAGATTAATACCGTAAATTTATACATGTGGATCTGAGCTCCATTCATGTGTCGGATCATATAGGTAATGTATTGCACGGATGTCCCTAACTGTATGATTGGGGAGCGGGACTTTTGTTTTAAACATGAAACTTACTTTTAAGTCAGTGAGACCTTATGGTAGTTCCATAATGTTGTATATTGGTCATTTGGTGGTGGTTGTTGTTTGTGTTTGCTTTTTTAATGAACTAGTCATTAGAGCCCAAAAAGTAAAAAAATGGAGAAAGCCTTGGAGTATCCTGAGTCCTGAAAAGATAATAACTTCAAGGGAAATGATAATAGCTAATTAAAAAAATATATATTTAAAAAGACTTTTTAAATTATGTTTGTGACATATACTCATTATAAATAATTTGGGCGATATAGAAGAATACCAAGAGGAAAGCAAAAAAACTACTCAACATTCATCACTCAGAAATGACTATCATTCACATTAGGTAAACATTAGTCTTTGCATGTGTTTGGGTAGAGGATAGATAAACAGCTTTATAGAAATGGGATCATACTCTATGTGCTGATAAAAATATTTAATTTTAGTTGAACAAAACAATAAAAAATGTAAGGAATCATCAAGCTTTGGGGAAATAGTTATAATAATATGTATGATTTCCTGAAAGAACCCTTTGTGCTTATGATTAGAAGAACCTCTGAAAAACATTCACATTGGAATATTTTTTTACTTTAATAAGGTTTATACAACTTCTGTGTAAGTCTTTTGAAATCATTGCTTTCAATTTTACTTAATCTTTGGTTTATAAAATAGGCTGTTCTTAAACCACATTTTGCTAAATGGAACCTATTTTAATAACCTAAGTGTTTATAGGGCCATTACGAAGTTCCTGTGAAGTTTTGTGGAAGTCGTATTTTTAAAGATCTTAAAGCAATTTATTAAACTAATATGTTTTCTTTATATAACATAAACATTGCAAAAACACAGCATTTTTACATTAGATTGGTGCATGGTTCTCCAATTTTTTTTTTCTATAGACGTGGGCTTTAAAATGTGACAAAAAACAGTTTATATTACACATGCTTTTTTATCATTTCCTTTTTTATTTAGCCATGTACCCTTGGGAGATTGCGCCATGTCAGTGCATGTGCATATACTTTACTCTTTATAATAATTGTTCAGTATTTCTTTGTATAGAACTACCATAGTTTATTTAAACAATTTGATATTAATGGATATTTCCTTTATTGTCGCTTTTTGTTATCATTGATGCAGACAATGCTAAAATGAGTATCCTTAGACATATATCTCTGGATATTTGTGGGAATATTTTTATAGAATAAATTATAAGAAATGGAAATGCTAGATCAATGGATATTAATGATATTATCATTTAGAATTTTGAATCTGATCACCAAGTTGCTTTTGCTTGCTTTTTCTATCAACAGTGCATTAGAATGTTAGGCTCCTCATATCACAACCAGATCTGTACAACTTTGAATCTTAATAACTTAGGTAACTAAGGTTTGATATAAAATATGAACTGCATTTAAAGGCAATTTTTTTCTTTATAATTTATGTAGATTTCAAATCTGTCACAGGACAGAGTTTATCTTGGTGGTTGATCATTTTCTAATTTATTAGGACAACTTCTATCTTAGAGCATCTATAGTATCATAGAGTTTGAAATACACTGTGTAAAATTCTACATTATCCTAAATTTAAGTGCCATTTATAAATTTTCTCTTATTTAATCTATTATTTAAAAACAAGGATGTCCCATAAGAATCTTATGGTGACACCCAGACAGATAATTTATCCCTTTAGTATGACATTCAAAAAAGAATGATGATCTTTTATATATAAAAAAATTAGCCTGTATAATGGTGTAAATTATTATGCTAATATTAACTGGAAAGACATAAAATTCTGCAAAATATTAAGTTATTGATTTTTTATGTGAGCAATTCTGAGATATTCTTGCTACAATCAAGCAAGCTCATTAATGACATTTCTCACTGTGAAGAAATGGAAAAAAAATTGTTCTTGGCAAGCAAAACAAAATAAGTTTGGATGTTTGCTCTACTGTTTTCCTTTTATGGTATTGATAAGTTTACTAACATTAGTATCATACAATGTGCAGAGAAGGGATTCCATCTTAAATGTAGGGTAGTTATGATCAGGAATCTCTCAAGTGACTTTGTTTCCAGTTATTTTACTCCTTACCACTGAAGGGAAGAGACACTCTAATATATGTAAATTTAGGTTTAGAAATGTACTTTATTTAGTACATTTTAGAGTTTCTGTGAGCAGAAGAGTAGTTTGGATTTAAAAGTGGTAGTTAAGGGGTATTACATCTGAAGAAGTCATTGCTGATGACTGATGTAGAATCATCATTTGAAAAAAAGCATGGTTTCTGTTTTCTCTATGTTGCCTGCTTTTTGTTATCCTTTTTTTGGTATGTATTTTTGAAAGATGGATAGGGAGAGGATACAAAAATTCAGTTTGTAGTTGTTATTCATAGGTTATTTATTTGTCAAAGTTAATTAGCATTCTAGAGTACAGAACTTAGCAATAAACAGAAAGAACTCTGATCAGTCCAGAAGCACTTCAGGAAGCTCTTTTATTAAAACTCATGTGTCATATTTGTAGAAAGCTCCTTGGGTCTTATTCAGAATCTTTTAAAACTTGTTTTGATATAATATACATATATTGCTGTCTGATTTCCTACGCTTGACAAATTCAAGTAAGAATAAGAGAGAAGGGCTACCAATATGATGAAAAAGGGAGAAGCTTAGAAACATCAACTCAGAAAGCACAGCATCTCCTTCACTGAGTTTATAATAGGACCCATTTTTTCCACTTTGAGGTTAGGAAAACCCAGTTGACCTACGTGGTTGTGGCTCTGGGTCAAGGGCATAGAACTTAAGTGGCTCTTCATTGTGCTTGAGATGGAGAGCAGTGTCTGTATGTTTTAGAAAGTTAATTTCAAACTTAAGATATTTGAAACAATAAGTGGATTTTGCAGGAAAAAAAGTTTAATACTTTATTTCTTCATGACTGGATTAAGATAATATTTGTATTTTATTTCTTGGCTTTGCAAATGGTTAAATAGATACCTGAATTAAATGATTAAAGGGTGGTTTTTAGATTATTGATAGAGTCTCAATTAAATTTGGTATTTTTCTTTCATTATCCTTAGCAATCCATGGTTATCTCTAAGTGTAATATTCTCTTTTCAAATTATTACATTAAGTTAAATTTTATTTTAACTAATTACAGATTTACTTCAACATATACAAATTAGTCGGTGTGCCTTTTATATAGGCCATCTTGTATAGTGCCCCATAATAAAAATATTTTTTAGTTATAAAATTAACAGCATTTAATGATTGAATTATAAGTAAGTCTGTGCTTTTACCATGTCTGTATCTTT